CAATAGCAAGTTTCTCCAGGGTCCGAAAACGGGAGGTAGCCCAAAACAGAAGACCCTACAGGGGATCGGGATGTAAGGCGTGGGGTTTTTGCAACCCTAAACCCTAAACCCTAAACCCTAAATCAGGGATGGGAGCCGAGGTATATGAGGGGTACGGGGATGGTATAGTGGCTTCTTTATCCCGAGTCCTGAGGTTCAAGATCCTTCATGCCTGAGGGGTAGAAAAAGACCCTGCCTATTGCACATCAAGATGGGTGTCCCCCGATAACCCCATCAATACCAGCGACCTCTTCCAGGCGGCAGAAGAAAGGAGAACACAATTCTGAGAGGCCCCGGAATTTCTTGTCGGGAGTCAAAGGATCCGCCCTCACCGCGGCAGTCTGGCGTGGATTTGCCCAGCAGAAACTTTCTTATCTGCCTTGATTTTGCTTGCACAAGCAGTTCAGATCAGCTGCCTCATGCTCACGCTGCGATCCTGAACCCTCAGCCCTGAACCCTGAACCCTAAACCCCTTTAAATCCTAAATCCTGAACCCTAAACCCTAAAATCCTAAAACCGCAAAAACCCTAAAACACTGTAAACCCTAAAGCCCTATAAACCTGAGCACCTGAATGGCTGCGGGAGTTCTATTGTCTTACCGTCCGTTGAGGCATTGCACGGAAGCTGTAAGAAGGCCTACGCTTTGAATCCTAAACCATCCAAGGGTTTAGGGTTTAGGGTTTAGGGTCTAGGGTCTAGGGTTTAGGGTTTCAGCCCATAATCATGAAAGCCCTTAACCTCTTATAGCCGCTCCTCCCCCAATCCTCTGTACAGAATAGGGTTACCTTCAACTAAGAACTGACCACATGAATTCGTTATCCTCAGCCAACAAGAAAAGAACCTCGTCTACACTTGCGTGTTGCAAAGCACCTGGTGGGTTGCATCAATCACTTGATACAACCCCCCACCCCCTAGTAAACAATATATGTGGGTTCCCCAAAATTCGGGATACCTTTTTAGGGGTCTCCATACTAATGATCTTAACATTTGGGTGTCTATATTGAGGTCCCCCTATTCGAGGAAACTACCAATAATTATTGGATTACCAGCATCAGGACAACAGAGATCCGCGTTGGAGCCTTTTAAACGTAGGGTGATGCTCCTGATCCCTCATAAGGAGTCCTCAAGAATTAGTTTGTCCCTAGAGCCGAAACCCTTGCACAAAAACCCCAACCTCAGCCCCGAAACCCCAAATTGAATCCTGAACCCGACGAACTATCATCCCCCTAACCCCCAAAAAATGATCCCTGAACCCTCAACCCTAAACCTTACAAGAAATGATCCCTGAACCCTAAACCCCAAACCTTAGAACCCCTAAAACCTTGAACACACCAAACCATGAACCCTAAACCCTCGTGAACCTTTTCACTCCCAGACGCCCCACGCCTCCAAACTTGCCGGACGAGCCCAGCCATTGGGCCTTCGTGGGGATAATGGAGGAAAAGTAGAAATTACTGTCTAGGGCTAGGGTTGAGGGATCTTTTGCCCAAAATAGTGGAGAATCAAATGGAAAAGACAGTGGAAAATGAAAATGGAACCTGGGGCTTGCATAGGGGGTCATAGGGACTGCCAGGTTCCAAATTCTAGTCCCTGTTTCGGGGTATCTTAAAAATTAGCGGCCGTACTAAACTATGCCCTCACGCCTAATGACCAGATATGCGATGGTACGTACAATGTTGAGAGCTAGGAGCTGCGATCTGAAAATTCTGGGTTGCAACTAAGTAATTTTAATTCAACTACTATACTGTGGGTGTAGGATTTAAGTCACCAGCATAGGGGTATATACTAGATAACCCGGTTTTCCTTCTTATAGTAACTGAATCTATATCATTTAGCAGCAACCCGGAAATCACCCGTGTTATAGCAGATCACAAACCCTACAGCCCGGAACCCTAAACCCTAAACCCTAAACCCTAAACCCTAAATCCCACTTCAGGAGCAAGGGGAACAGAAAAATCTGGGAGGCTCAAAGTCTTCTGGGTCGCTGATAAGGAACTTACGTAATCTCAGTCACGATATTATGGGGTATATAATGAATGACGAGTTTTCCTTCTTTTGGTAATCTAATTTAAGTTCCGTAACAGCAGTCTGGGATGAAGTTCACAGCTTTCAAGGATACCGTTGGTGTGGTTTACAAGGCCCTTTTGAATTTGAGTTTTTCCCTGCCCCCCAAGTCGACATCCGAACAGAGACTTGAAACCCACGGTGACATCAGCTGGGCAGGCATATACAGGGCTGTGGTGGGGAATCAAATCGCAAAAATTGACAATGACATGGAAACTTGTCTTATGTAGGGATTATTGGGTTCAGGGCTGGGTACTCAATTTGCCGTCTCTAATAGTAATCTGAGGGGACTTTGAGACTTTACCTGGTTATTTGGGTTTTCCCACCTACAGCCCATGCAAGCCCCTATATCCCCCTAATTTCCATTCAATCATCCATGTCCTTGCCCATTTGAGTCTTTAAGTCTTGACTCTTGAGGGGTTTCCCTGCCAAGGACAGTAACGCATCAAGGCATGAGAGATTTAATCTAAACTCCTAGTATCCCCCTTAGTAGCCTACAATACTCCCCGATACAATCCCATTAACAAAAAAAACTCAATCCCCTATGTAACCCACTTTTTTCAGGAGCTCAGACTATACTTGGAGGGTCATGGGGACTTAGTAAGTAGGTGAATAGCCCCTAAACCCATATAGTAACCCTAGATATCTCAAATATTAACCTACTTTCTAAGTCCCCCTGACCCTCCAAGTAGCTCATGTATAGTCTAAACTCCCAATATCCCCCTTTAATAACCCCTACAATACTCCCCTATATAATCCCCTATATAACCCCTTTTAAGGAATTTAGACTATACTCCTGCGATTCTTGACAGAGGTCTGTCCTGTCCAGCTGCCAGGCGCACCGGCGCAGCGCCCGTACAGGCAGTTGCCGGGGCCCTGGCAAGGTCAACGGATGTTTGTGGCTTAGGATTTAGTGTTTAGGGCTTAGGGCTTAGGGTTTAGGGTTTAGGGTTTAGGGTTTAGGATTTTGGGGCTCAGGGTTTGCTTACTCTTTGTTAGTGTGAAATGAGGGAATAAAATCCCTATAGAATATCCTCCTAACCCCCAATAAGTTTAGGGTCTAGAGTCTAGGGTTTAGGGACTCGGCGGAGTGGTAGGATTTCTATCCAGACCGTATAAACGTAATATTGGAATCGCGGGACGCTTTCCGGCAGTGAGTTAACGTCCTAACTGCAGGGATCCCTCACGGACTTCAGATTCAGGGGATTTCGTGTAAACTCCAGCCATGGAACGATTTATGTTAAAGGGGTTATATTGGGATAATGGAAACGAAAATGGAAACTACTATTTAGGGTTTAGGGTTTAGGGTATAGTCCCCCTTAAGTAGATAGAATATGGCTTTGAGTATATTACAAGGAGATCCCCATATACTCCATCTTCTATCGACTTAAGGGGGGACTATAGGGTTTAGGATCTTCCCATCTCTATCTAGCCTCGCCTCGTGCAGAACGCCTACGCCTAACCTACAATACTGAAGAACTGAAAATGAATCCTCTCACTGGCCTTGTCTAACCGACGTAGAGTTTCAGAACCCTAGCCGTCATTGCGCTTAAATGTTTAGCCCCCTACATAACCCCAACTTACCGTTCGTTTGAACTTTGAGGGCGCGTCGGAGGTGAGACTTGCAACAATCCCCAAAGCAGGTCTCCCGTTCGTGACTCGTGAATCTTCTCGGAGGCAGTCTCTTCTGTTTTTGGGGTGCCCATTTGAAAAACTGCACAGCTTAGAATGGAAATAAACTCCACAGCACAACTAACCAAATTCAATATCCCCTACCCGCCCGTCGAACGCCACAAGGTAAGGACCTCAGAAAGTAATCCATGATGCTAAAGACCCCTGGATCCAACGCATCTTGAAATCAACGGCACCAATTCCCGAAAGTCCAATCTCTATCCTGATAAGCGGGCATTTGCTGCCTCTGTGGCCTCCCAGGCTACCACAGTCCATGCGAAGACTGCTAACTACTAATATCGAAAGCTTTAAGTATGGGCCCCTAATACGGGCCCTTAGGCCTCTTAGGGGGATTCTAGGGACCCTTAAGGGTACATATAAGGTATATAATAGGTATATAATGATCCCAGAGCTAAGGGCCCATACTAGGCGCCCATGATTTCAACCTTAGATAATCCCTGCCCCAAATATTAAGCAGCCTCCTTCCTCAATAAAGAATATCCCGTCTAGGAGCCGAAATCTCTGGGAACGTCTTCAATGTATTTTGACTCTGGGGGTGTTTTAGTCTCGGTGGAAAGCCACTAGTTAAGCCCCATGGTGCAATCGCCAAATGTCATGGAACCTGGCAGCTATGTCGATCAAGACCGAGAAGCTGCAAATGTGGGCTCCTACGATGTTAACGGCTGCTGTTCTCCCCTCTCACGGGCAAGCTACGCAAATTGCTTGATGCTCACTGCATCCTAAACCCTAAACCCTAAACCCTAAATCCTAAATCCTGAACCCTAAACCCTAATTTCCCTAAACCCTAAAGCCTAAATCCTGAACCCTCATTTCCCTAAACCCTAAGGCCTACATCCTGAACTCTAAACCCTAAACCCTAACGGAATAAAGTGGCAGCTTTGGCCAGGCACTTTTGCTCAGATCAAGAAGGCCACGGCCAGGCACGGAAATGCTAAACTTGCTGGAATATGCAGGTATATAGGGTTTAGGGTTTAGGGTTTTAGTAGGAATAAGCGAATATACTATATACAGTAGGCACTATATAGGGATGATATTCCCTTGTTCCCTACTTACAGCCAGTAACGTACAGTTGGCATGCAACATCATCCCAAGAGCCTGCAGCTTGCTGCCAGGGCCTTGCTAGCCTCACACCACGCAAGGCATGCCAGACTTTCTTTCTGCGGCAGTGCCTAGGAGTCGAAATGATAGGTACGAAGCAGTGGAGATCACTCCTCTGCATCCTCGGTCTCACTTTGTAGACCTGGGGCTGGGTTGTCTCCCCTGTCCTCGTCAAGGTCACCCTGAAAAGCTGGCAGTAAGGCCAAGCCAACTGAGGAGACTTTCACCGTGGAGGCGGCCGCACAGGCCCAGAACCCTCCAACCACAGCAGCGGCACCCAGTCCCACAAAAGCCAGTTGCGTGGGGGAGGGCTTCAGATCCCACAAATCGCGCCAGGATCCGTCCGAAGGGCCACCATCAGCTGCTGCCTCCTCCCCAGCATCTACCGTAGTCCTTCCCTGAAGGACTCGAAAGACCAGTGGCAGCAGATGGTGTTTTCCCTTGATAGCCAGGTTTCCAGAGAGCAAGGTCATGATTGGCCTTTCCGCCCCCGCCTGACACTGATCAATAAATGTCTGCTCGTCGGGACAGGTCAAAACCTAGGCCGCAGGTTCAAACTCAATTCATTGCATGGCAGAAAAACGAATCCACAAACCTCTGTGAATCTACACGAATCCACCGAGTAGTCGCCAAGAACCAGGAACGAGGCACTCTGCCTATGGACGCATCCCAAATCCAGCCAATCTAGCCGCAGGTTGCGGCCTGAATGCATGGAATTGAAGGCTTCCGCGAACGAAACACCTTGACATAGCTTCTACAAACACCGCCAGCATGACGCCCTCCATCATCACAAACCTTACACAATCCCGAAATGCTGCCCGAAATCTAGCACTTTTAGGCTTGGACCCAGCAGCCACATCGCATTCCTCAACTGCTGCTCTTGGCCGGTTCACAAAGTGCCCCGACTCCCATCGAAGCGTTGGACCCTTGGCTTTTCTTCTGACTGACCTCCCTGACAAGAAACTTTTCCCCAAAGTACTGGGTTGCTGTTAAGGA